CAGATATAATGATATAACATTATACCCAAAATATCCACACATCTACCTACATACCTCTTCATTGTCTTACACCAAAAGGAAATGGCTTCTGTATCTTCTCCATTTTTCCTCCATTTAAACCCATATTTCTGATTTTTTTTCACCCATGCAAAATTCCCCGCCTTATCTTCCTTCATTTTGGAAGTCTATTGTCCTCCCTTTCTGGCTGGAGGACGCCAGGGGAGAGGGGAGGGGGGGGAGGGGTAGGAGGGAAGGAGAAAAGGGGTATATAATGGAGTAAAGGGAAGAAAGGATCAATGTTAATTACATACACACGTATGCTGATGGAGATATTGATAAATAAATACACGTTCACACGAATCCGCACGCGCGCGCGCACGCACACACACACACACACACACACAAGCACGTATACTTGCTCTCTCTCTCTCTCTCTCTCTCTCTCTCTCTCTCTCTCTCTCTCTCTCTCTCTCTCACACACACACACACACGTATACTTGCTCTCTCTCTCACACACACACACACACACACACACACACACACACACACACACACACACACACACACACACACACACACACACAAGCACGTATACTCGCTCTCTTTCTCTCTCTCTCTCTCTCTCTCTCTCTCTCTCTCACACACACACACACACACACACACAAGCACGTATACTCGCTCTTTCTCTCTCTCTCTCTCTCTCTCTCTCTCTCTCTCTCTCACACACACACACACACACACAAGCACGTATACTCGCTCTCTTTCTCTCTCTCTCTCTCTCTCTCTCTCTCTCTCTCTCTCTCTCTCTCTCTCTCTCTCTCTCTCTCTCACACACACACACACACACACACACAAGCACGTATACTCGCTCTCTTTCTCTCTCTCTCTCTCTCTCTCTCACACACACACACACACACACACACACACACACACACACACACACACACACACAAGCACGTATACTCGCTCTCTCTCACACACACACGTACACTCACTCTCACACAGCACACATCCGGGAGCGCGAGGCCATGGGCGTAGAATCAATTACACCCGGGATATGTTCGCAGCCTGTGATTAACGTTAAGGCGTAGGCAAATAAAAAAGGGGCTCAATTCGCACGCATTAATCACAGCCTTCCGTAGACTTCCCCCTTCCCCCCTTTTCCGAAGCCCGGGTGTCATACGTACGTCGGCGCGCGCACTTCATGATAGTAATTACGTCCTTCTCGAAATATAATCGCATTGTGGTCGTAACTTTTTTTTTTTTTTTTTTTTTTTTTGGTCGTCTCGTCCGATCTGCCATTATGGTGGGAATTTAGGGCGGTAATAATAGCGTATGGTATAGATTTTCTCATTCTCCTTATCCCCTCCTGGACAGGATCATGCAAATTTATCTTGACAGCCTAACTTCGATTGTCTGTGCCTCGCCGTTCACCTCCAAGGAGGCGTCCAGCTCCTCTCTCCTGACGTCGCCCAAACCGCAACGACGCCGCCACGACCTCCTCCTCCTTGGCGTGTTTCTTATTTAACGCCAAAAGTCGTTTCAGCTTTCGGTGCGGACGTCTTGATGGCTCGCGTGCGGACATACAGATTACATCACCTACTCCACTCTCTTGCGTGAATGTGTTGAGGCAGGAGAGGGGTGAGGGGAGGAGGGAATGGGGGGGGGAGAGAGAGAGGAGTGGAAAAGGGTGAGAGGAGGAGGGAAGGGAGAGGAGAAAGGGGAAGGGGCGAGAGGAGGAGGGGATGGGAGAGGAGGAAGGGAAAGGTGTGAGAGGAGAAGGGAAAGAGAAGGAGAGCGAAGAGAGAAAGAAAAGTAAGAGGATGAGAGGGGAAGATGAAAGGAAGGGGGTAAAAGAAGGGAAAGGGATGAGAGGGGAAAGGGAAGGAGAAGGAAGAGGAGAGAGGGAAAGAGAGAGGACAGTAAAGAGCAAATGAAGAGAGAGGAAAGAGAGAAAGGAAAGGAAGATGGTGAGAAGGGAAGGGAAGGGGAAGGAAGAAGGAAAAGTGGGGAAGGGGAGAACACTTCCGCCAACTACACTTTGCGGGCAGAACTTTTGCGGCGACGGCGGCGGCTGAGGCAAGAGAGGAAGGATAGTCGGTGCGATGCGGAAGAAGCAGCTCGTCGGCGGTTTGATCCTCACTTATGCATATTTATCGCGGAAATTTGGCAGGGATTCTGTCATGATAGAAACTGCGTACATTACGGCGAGATATAGAGATACTGGACGCAATATCTCGACGCAACATCTCGATGAATTCAAAGCGAGTAGGAAAAAGCTGGCGAGTATTAAAAAGTAATTCATGTAAGTGTTTGAAGACGAATGGCAGCTAAGTGCTGCTAGTGGCATGGTAGTCCGGTAGTTAAGCAGAAACTCGCGACAGATTGAGCTGGTACTGGAGTTTTAGAAACTGGGCGCTTCTGACGCTGCCGAAGTAGCAATCAGGAAGTGACATTCGAATCCAGGTAATACAGAAGCAAATTTCTCTCTCCCCCCTCAAGAACTACGCGAACTTACCGGAATCGACATTAAGGCCCCCCGTGTTTACTAACCGTTACTAAAATAGTATTGCATTCAACTCGTCGACAAAACACTCGCGCGCCAACCCAGTCCGCCTCATAAGGAAACTGAATCGTGTGAAAAATGCACAAGAAGAATTTTCCCTCATTACACACGCCACCCCAGGGAGCGGTTTTGTCCTGTCGACACTATAGTTAGTTTGTGACCATTAACCTTTCATTCTCTCACTCACTCACTCACTCTCTCTCTCTCTCTCTCTCTCTCTCTCTCTCTCTCTCTCTCTCTCTCTCTCTCTCTCTCTCTCTCTCTCTCTCTCTCTCTCATACACACACATTACTAAATTATTTATATATGCATGAGTGCGCGGGCACGTTTGTGTGTGTGTGTGTGTGTGTGTGTGTGTGTGTGTGTGTGTGTGTGTGTGTGTGTGTGTGTGTGTGTGTGTGTGTGTGTGTGTGTGTGTGTGTGTTTGGAGAGATGTTTTAATATCGTGTGGTTTCGCATGTCTGCTTGCCTTTATATTCCGTGTATATCACAAGAGCAGACGTATGATGACCTCCTTGCTAATGATACGATATAAATCTAAACAGGGCGATCAGTATCATGCTCATCATGCAAATAAACTAGACGTGACGTAATAGTTAAAACAAACCTACAATAACTTAAAAATTGCTATACTTACATTTTCTCTAAATTTTTATACTGTTTCCTTTGCTTACCTAGCATTATCTCTAAATAGCCGGTTCGCTATAATAGGCCCTTCCCCTATGAAGGCACGATTTACGACCTTTGTGTAGGCAAACAAGCAGTTACATGTGTGTGATATATAACATCAACTGACAGGTAAACTTGCTTTCATAGAATGACAAAGAAACATTCGCTTTGAAACAGGTGCAACGTCTGCATGAAAAATGAACATATAAATATAAACAAAACATTTATCTCAGATTTATTTTTGTGTTGTGGTGTTTTAGATACACGAACCGTAATGATTACTCAACTAATGGTCGACTTCCGCGAAGTTTATGGCAAGAGGTAATCAAGTAGCATTACACAGATAGGTTCAATTACAGAAATAATATACCCACTGCAATCCCGACAGTGGCTATTGGCGCCTCTAAAACGCATTACAAATGGCTCATTACGATCCCAAATTTATGAGGACCAGGGTGCTTGGCAAAGGCGATGCTTCGGATTACTGTCTATTGATGAGTTGAAGTCTCCGGATAAAATGCAGGATGGACGGGAAGTATGAAGTGGCTGCCATTTTTTACAGCGAGTTATTATGTAGTTTCTGGCCATTTTGTTGATTTCTTTTGCTTTTTTTCAAGACAAAGGTTTCATATCGCAAGAGTACCTTGCATTAAGAATACAGCGTTAAGACCCAGAAAGGTAACCGCAGAGAGGAAATCCATTATATTTCTTTAATGAACAATTTATTTTACACGGCGTCGTAAATTTTCCAGAGGGGACAGCGAAATGAATATATCAATGAATTAAAATTTTAGTGTTCTACATCTATTCCGCCGGTAAAAATGCGCTTAAAACACAACCGCGGCCTAAAATTTGGGCCATCACCCTCCCGTTAACGACCAGTGTGTCGGCGGAACGAAATGGGCCCATCAAAGAACAACCATAGGCTATTATAAGCTAGAATGGGCTGTTTATAGTTCGGCATATACAAAACTTGTCTTTATGCCTATTGTCTGCCAATTGAGAGATCCGTAAATATAGGCCTATACGCGATCACTCCGTATGTATTCTTCGACTTCCTGTCTGCTGATTGTTCATGGGCATTTCCGCCGGCGTCTGGTTTTCATCTGAATCTTTTGTTCTCTGTATAGATAAATATATATAGATAATATATATAATGTACATACATATTTATACATATACATACATAATTGAAAACATGTTGCCCTTCGTAAGTTTGTCTTCTTTCAGCATTAGGTTTTATTATTATTATTATTTTTTAATCTTTATACTGGCTGTTTGTACATAGTAGGACTTAGGTATGTAGTTTAGATTTTATTTCATACATCTTTACATTCAGACGTTCCCCTATAATTGTATTATTCATGTATATTTTCGTTTCCCTAATTGCAAAGCACCTTATTCAGGTTTACTTTAATTTTTCTGTAGTCTAATATTAACTTTGATAATCTATTTGTGTTTTCCTGTAGATCATGTATGATGGAGCGAAAGACTACGAAACGTCTGATATTCCCTTTTCCTTTTTCCTCCCTCGCTCTCTCTCCCTTCCTCCCTCTCTCTTTGTCTCCTTCCCTCCTTCCTTCGCCTTCCTCTGTCTCCCTCCCTCCCTCCCTCCTTCGCCTTCCTCTGTCTCCCTCCCTCCCTCCCTCCCTCCTTTGCCTTCCTCTGTGTCTCCCTCCTTGCCTCCTTTCCCTCCCTCTTTGTCTCCTTCCCTCCTTCCTTCGCCTTCCTCTGTCTCCCTCCCTCCCTCCTTCGCCTTCCTCTGTCTCCCTCCCTCCCTCCCTCCTTTGCCTTTCTCTGTGTCTCCCTCCTTGCCTCCTTTCCCTCCCTCTTTATCTCTCTCCCTCCTTCGCCTTCCTCTTTGCCTCCCTCCCTCCTTCGCCTTCCTCTGTCTCCCTCCCTCCCTCCCTCCTTTGCCTTCCTCTGTGTCTCCCTCCTTCCCTCCTTCCTTCGCCTTCCTCTGTCTCCTTCCCTCCCTCCTTTGCCTTCCTCTGTGTCTCCCTCCCTGCCTCCTTTCCCTCCCTCTTTGTCTCTCTCCCTCCTTCGCCTTCCTCTTTGCCTCCCTCCCCATCCTTTCCCAGAAATCGGAAAAAAATCACGGACTTGCCCCGTCCGTACCTGTCAAGAGACTAAAAGAAAAGTGACAAGGCTATAATTGTATTATTATTTTCGGCCTAATGTCACGCACAAGTAGCTTCCTCTCTCTTTGCAACGTCATTAAATCACCGAAACGGAAACTCTGCATGCTTCTTGCAACAAAACTCAAGATCGGGAATTTATCTGACAGAATTTATATACGATGAAAACAAGACTAGACTTCGAATATTATCTTTAAAAAAAAATACACATTACTAATTCTACAACAAAAATATTAAATAAGACGTCGCGTCAAACACAAAACAAGCTTTAAACGATCATTAATCTTAATTGAATTCGGTGATGGAAAAATGACATACGCGATATGAATATGTGTGTGTGTGTGTGTGTGTGTGTGTGTGTGTGTGTGTGTGTGTGTGTGTGTGTGTGTGTGTGTGTGTGTGTGTGTTTACGAAGGCAGCCCCGCACCGTTGTCACGTCCCGGCCAAATTAAGGATTATTTGACTCCTCCCGCACCTCGTAAATCCTGCGGCGCGGACATTTGCCTTTGGCCGCACTAAGGCCCTTGCGAGGCAGCAGGCTCTTGGGCGAACATTTTTTTTTTTATTTAGTTTTTTTTTTTTCATTTTCTATTTTGTTTTATTTAATTGGCGAACATTTTTTTGTTTTTTTTTTTCATTGCCTATTTTGTTTTATTTAATTGGCGAACATTTTTTTTTTTCTATTTTGTTTTATTTAATTGGCGAACATTTTTTTTTTCATTTTCTATTTTGTTTTATTTAATTTTCATTTATGCATTTTTTTTCTTTTATTTTTCATCTTTAGTTTTTTATCTTTCATGGTTATTTCAATTCTTATTTTATTTTTCATTTCATTTTATAGGTTTTTTTTTTCATGCTTTTTCCAATTTTACTTTAGCATATATTTTTTTTCATTTTCATTTTAGTTTATATAATTGTCATTTTCATTTTATTTTATCAATTGTTTGTTTTATTCTACTTCATTAATTGTTTGTTTTATTCTATTTCATTAATTGTTAGTTTTATTTCATTTTCTAAATTTTCATTTTTATTTTACTCTATTCATTCCTTCCTTTTTCGTCTCTTTTTTTTTGCTTCTCATTTTACCTACACATTTAATTATCATTTTCACTATTTTAATTCATTTTATTTTATTTATTTATTTATTTTGTCTGGCATTCTGAGCCTTCGAACACTTGCCTTGACTGCGGTGTCTGTCCCTCCTCAGCCAATTACGGAGAGAGAAAATGCTTTTCCGGTTTTGCTCGTCATGAGGAATAGGATGACGTAACTAATTTTATATATACAGGTGTGCATGTGCGTGTGCGTGTGCGTGTGTGTGTGTGTGTGTGTGTGTGTGTGTGTGTGTGTGTGTGCGTGTGTGACCACGAGGATAAATACGAGAACGAGTAAAGAGACTGCGTGCGTTGTGAGTTAGTGTGAGTGCGCGCGCGTGCGCACCGGGAGGGCACTCGATCTCCATCCGCCGCGCAGAAAAGCCCATGTATTCCCGGCCGGCAACCTCCCTTCCCTTCCCCTACCCCAACCCGCTCCCCTACCCCCCCCCCCGTGTCATGGCGTTCCCCGTGGGTTACTGGCCGGCCATACGCGGGCAGCCGGACCCTCGCCCGTTAACAGTACTCTTATGGCAAAAGACTCAGAGGGACGGAAACCTTTTTTTATTGCACTCGTAGCACTTGGAAATTAAACTGGCAAATTGAAAAAGAGGAGTTCGTTTTATGGCTTTCTATGTGGCGTAAGGTTCCATTCGGCGCACAGTATATGGCTTACATACACCTTACACACACACACACACATATCGTAAAAGAAAAAAAAGAGACAAAAAAAGAGACAGCGACCGTTCAACCGAATTAAACCGAAGCGCTGCAACAAAACGAGTTCGGGAATACTAGTTCGGGTAATTGCCGGAGAAATCGTCTGTGATCAGCTAACAGGAGACGATCTATCCTTCGGACCTCCTAAAACTACGCTTCATTTTTTTTTTATCGAACTTTGCACAACAATCACGTTCTCCTTTCCTACTCTTCATACACAGGAAGGTAATTTGCGGAGATACATGGAAAATAAAATCGAAGAAAATTACAGAGAAAGAATAAAAGAAAAACGCCTTTTAGAGAGAGCGAGAGAGACAGAGAAAGAAAGACAAAACCATCATTATCAATACACACAGTCGAACCTCGCTAAAAAAGATCCAAATCAAACCTTAACGGAAAACCAGAGACCAAACGGCGGCGACACTTTAGCCAAAGGAACGACTTCATAAGAGAAAAAAAATGAAAATAAACCGCACACGACCCAGCCAGCGGCGAGGGTCGTGCGGCGGCCGGCGGGACCAGCCAGCCTCACGACCCGCTGGTCACGAGGCACCGAGAACCCGAGGGCGCCGGGGCTCGGGCCGGAACTCAGGCCGGTGCCAGCGGGGGGAGAGGAGGAGGGGGTGGGGAGGAGATAGGGAAGGGATAGAGAAGAGAAGAGAAAGAGGTAGGGTGGAGAGGAGGAGGAGGTAGGGAGGGAGGGTGGCGGAGGGAGCTGGCCCTGTCTTCTGTCCTCTCTCTCTCAGTATCTCTCTCTCCTTCTCCCTCCCTCCTTTCCTCTCTCTCACTCTCTCCGTCGACGAAAAAGGAGAAGAAAACACATTGCAGCAAAACAAGCAGTCATTTCCTTCCTTTCTTTCACTTCCTTCACTTCTTTCATTCATTCCTTCTTCCATTTCCTTTCCTTCTATTATTCCTTCCTTCATCCTTCTTGGGCCTTCCCTCTCCTCCACTCACGAAGCAAGTTACTACGACTTTTACGGATCAATTTATTACTGTGTTAACGAATCAGTCTATTGCCTTAACCAAGCGTCCACTGACTATATTTACTATAGTTTTACGACTACGTTTTAACATATTTTTCTTCTCTGTCTTCTCTCGTGATGACTCACCCTCCCACTTCCTTTGTGTCAAACGGAGGTGTGTCAACCGCAAACGACACTGTTATATCCGTGTCACGTAACGCTGCAAGCCGGCGCCGCTCGGACAACCTCGCGGGTCACGTGGTTTTGTGCAATATCATCCTGCACGCTGCACTTGTCTCTACCCTTGATTTCCTTCTATTTGGCTTCCTTCTCACGCACACGCATACACACACACACACACACACACACACACACACACACACACACACACACACACACACACACACACACACACACACACACACACACACACACACACACGGGCGCGCGTGCGTGTATGTATGTATGTATGTATGTATGTATGTATGTATGTATGTATATATATATATATGTATATATATATATATGTATATATATATATATATATATATATATATATATATATATATATATATATATATATATACATTTCCATTGGCTTTCCTTCTGGTATTGTTCCTCCTGCTATCTTAACTGCATGTTATGGTTATCATTGTTATCATTATCATTATCATTACAACTGTACCTGTAGTAATATCAGTATTAGTGACAACGGCAACAACGGTAATATCACTATCATTATCATAAAAAAAAAACATACATTATATCGTCTAATACATTTATATCATATCATCCTCTTCTATATAAACGCCATCATCCTAATCGATATTTCTATCATTATCACTATTATCCCTATCACCATTATCTCTCCCTTTCTTCTCCAGCTTTTCTTCCTTTATTCTCTTCTTCTCCCCCCCCCCTTTCTCTCCTTTCCTCGTCCAATAAACCTTTTTCTTGTGGTTTTCTTGCGGAAATTTTGTGGGTTTATATTGGGGAAAGGGCGAGTGGGGAGGGATAGAGAGGAGGAAGGGAGGGAGGGAAAGGGGAAAAAGGGGGAGGGAGGGGAGGAGAGGAAAAAGGGGAAAGGGGGAGGGAGGGAAAAGGGTAGGGAAGGAGGAGGGAGGGGGAAGGTGGGGGGGGGGGAGGGAGGGAGGGAGAGAGGGATAGCGAGGATGGAAGGGAGGGAGGGAAAGGGGAAGGGGGAAGGAGGGAAAGGGGGGGAGGGGAGGAGGGAGGAAGGGAACTTGGTAGGGAGGGAGGGAGGGAGGGAGGGATAGGAGGGAAAGGGTAAGGGGGAGGGAGGGAGGGAGGGGAAAAGGGGAAGGGGAGGGAGGAGGAGGGGAAAGGGGAACGGGGGAGGGAGGAAGGGAACTTGGTAGGGGACGGGAGGGGGAAGAGAGGGAAATAGAAAAAAAAATCAAAGAAGAAGCGAAGGAGGGAAAAATTAGAGAGAGGAAGAGAGTGGGAAAGAGAGGGATGGACGAAGAGGATATATCTATATATATAGATATATATTATATATATATATATAGATAATATATAGATAAGAGAGAGAGAGAGAGAGAGAGAGAAGAGAGAGAGAGAAGAGAGAGAGAGAGAGAGAGAGAGAGAGAGAGAGAGAGAGAGAGAGAGAGAGAGAGAGAGAGAGAGAGAGAGAGAGAGAGAGAGAGAGAAGAGAGAGAGAGAGAGAAGAGAGAGAGAGAGAGAGAGAGAGAGAGAGAGAGAGAGAGAGAGAGAGAGAGAGAGAGAGAGAGAGAGAGAGAGAGAGAGAGAGAGAGAGAGAGAGAGAGAGAGAGAGAGAGAGAGAGAGAGAGAGAGAGAGAGAGAGAGAGAGAGAGAGAGAGAGAGAGAGAGAGAGAGAGAGAGAGAGAGAGAGAGAGAGAGAGAGAGAGAGAGAGAGAGAGAGAGAGAGAGAGAGAGAGAGAGAGAGAGAGAGAGAGAGAGAGAGAGAGAGAGAGAGAGAGAGAGAGAGAGAGAGAGAGAGAGAGAGAGAGAGAGAGAGAGAGAGAGAGAGAGAGAGAGAGAGAGAGAGAGAGAGAGAGAGAGAGAGAGAGAGAGAGAGAGAGAGAGAGAGAGAGAGAGAGAGAGAGAGAGAGAGAGAGAGAGAGAGAGAGAGAGAGAGAGAGAGAGAGAGAGAGAGAGAGAGAGAGAGAGAGAGAGAGAGAGAGAGAGAGAGAGAGAGAGAGAGAGAGAGAGAGAGAGAGAGAGAGAGAGAGAGAGAGAGAGAGAGAGAGAGAGAGAGAGAGAGAGAGAGAGAGAGAGAGAGAGAGAGAGAGAGAGAGAGAGAGAGAGAGAGAGAGAGAGAGAGAGAGAGAGAGAGAGAGAGAGAGAGAGAGAGAGAGAGAGAGAGAGAGAGAGAGAGAGAGAGAGAGAGAGAGAGAGAGAGAGAGAGAGAGAGAGAGAGAGAGAGAGAGAGAGAGAGAGAGAGAGAGAGAGAGAGAGAGAGAGAGAGAGAGAGAGAGAGAGAGAGAGAGAGAGAGAGAGAGAGAGAGAGAGAGAGAGAGAGAGAGAGAGAGAGAGAGAGAGATATCCCTTTTCTCTTCCTTTCTTTATCTCCTTATCTACCGGCCTATCTCTTTCCCCCCATTTTCCTTTCCTCTCTCAGGCTCGCCAGGGAGAGAGAGATAAACATGGGTCGTGCTGTGTGTGGCCCCGAGACTAGCAATTTTGGGTCAATTTAACGCCAATTAGATTTTCCGAGATTGAGATCTCCGCTAGGCCTAAATCTCCCATCTCTGTTGTCGGCCTCTCGCCTTTTTTTTCCGTAGGCCTATTCCTCCGGCGTTCGTAATTATATCCCGTCCCATTCTGTTTTGGGCGAAAGACGAAACGCAAGATGAATCGTCTTTTAACTCCCGCCCATAAAGCTCGGACATTAATAATGAAAGCCGTGAAATATCTGATAAACTTATACATATAGCCCAAAACGAATTGTCTGTTTATCATTACGTACCTGCGGTCTCTTCCTCAAGACGGCGAGCGAGGACCTCATCTTCTTGCGTTTATCTCCTTTTCCTTCTTGAGATGTAATCTTTATTAACGGTCTCGCCCTTTTCTTTCTCTCTCTCTCTTTCTCTTCTCTTCTCTTCTCTCTTTTTATCTCACGGTTTTATCTCCGGTGTGAAGTTGACCGAGGAATCTTGTCTTCCTCTGTCTCGAAGAATATTTGACGAAGTGCACTCAGACTGAATATGGTTTTGTTGAAGATGATTTCTCTTTACAGGATTCCGTTTTCTATACACACTTGGCGCTTCAGGGATGGGGGGGGACTGTTTTATTGAGTTATCTGAAAAGAAAGAAAAAACGTTTCTTTGAGTCAATTCTTACAAAGGGTTATAAAAAAGTACTCAAGTAAAATAAGCTTAATTCTGAGAAAGACATGTCTGAGGTAACGCAAATATAAGCGTGTGTTTTGTATTTGCAGTGTGTATGGCGTGTGTATGTGTGTACGTATATACATATGTATGTATATGTATTTGTATATGTATGTGTATGTATATGTATATATTATATGTATATAATATATATATGTATATGTATATATTATATGCATATAATATATATATGTATATATGTATATGTATATATATTATATATACACAATATATATATATATATATATATATATTTACACACACACACACACACACATATGTATGTATGTATGTATATATATGTATATGTATGTGTATATATATATATATATATATATATATATATATATATATATATATATATATATATATACATATATATACATATACCGTATTCTTGCCTATTTGTGCTCAACTACATGTGTATATGCTCTAGATGTAAGTGAATGTATGCATAGAAATGGCTTGTAAACAGGTATACCAACTGGCTATACCCACATATAAAGGCAGACAGATGGGTATATAGACCGAGAAGATATTGATATATAAATACATATGCTTGAAAGTTAACCACACACTTGCCTGACAGTTATGTATATATAGGAGCAGTACAGTGTGTACACTCCCAAGCACAACTAACACCCTCGTGAGCTTCAAGCCAGGCAGTCTTACCAGTCACCCTGACTTATAAGGCCTAATTTATGCCTGCGACGCCCTCTTACCTCCCCCCCCTTCCCCCCTCCCCCCTTTTCCATCACCCCACTTCCACCTCCCTCTTCTCCTTCACTCTCCCATTCCCTCCCCCCCCCCCTACTTCAATCCTTCTGCTTTCTCACCCTATTCCCTATAATCCTTTTTATTTTTCCTTTCTACTCTTTCTTCTTTTCTGTTCTTCTATCTCCTTCTCCTATGCCTATCGTTTATTGTCCTCGTATCTCCGTTTCTTCTCCGTTTCTTCTCTCTCGTCTCCCCTTTCACCCTCTTCTCTCTCCTCTATTTTCCCATGTTACACTCTCATCTTTTTTGTCTCTCTCTCTCTCTCTCTCTCTCTCTCTCTCTCTCTCTCTCTCTCTCTCTCTCTCTCTCTCTCTCTCTCTCTCTCTCTCTCTCTCTCTCTCTCTCTCTCTCTCTCTTTCCTCTCTCTCTCTCTCTTTCCTCTCTCTCTCTCTCTCTCTTCTCTCTCTCTCTCTCTCTCTCTCTCTCTCTCTCTCTCTCTCTCTCTCTCTCTCTCTCTTTCCTCTCTCTCTCTCTCTTTCCTCTCTCTCTCTCTCTCTCTCTCTCTCTCTCTCTCTCTCTCTCTCTCTCTCTCTCTCTCTCTCTCTCTCTCTTTCCTCTCTCTCTCTCTCTTTCCTCTCTCTCTCTCTCTTTCCTCTCTCTCTCTCTCTTTCCTCTCTCTCTCTCTCTTTCCTCTCTCTCTCTCTCTCTCTCTCTCTCTCTCTATTTCCTCTCTCTCTCTCTCTCTATTTCTTTCTTTCTTTCTTTCTTTCTTTCTTTCTCTCTCTCTCTCTCTCCCCTTCATCCTTCTCTATTAAGGGATCGAGTTTCCAACGTCCATTTACGACCTCTTTTTTCCCCAATTCGCTTATTACATGCCTATCAGCCACGGATGCCGGTTATTAGCCAGCACTTGTCATCTCTCTCTCTCTCTCTCTCTCTCTCTCTCTCTCTCTCTCTCTCTCTCTCTCTCTCTCTCTCTTCCTTCCTCCCTAACTCCCTTTTTCCCTCTTTCCCCCCTTCTCTCGTTCTTCCCCCTTTCTCTCCCTCTCCCCCTCCCCCTCCCCTCTCTCTCTCTCCCTCTCACCCCCTACCTCTCTCTCTCCCTCCCCCCTCCCTCTCTCTCCCTCTCCCTCCCCCTCTCTCTTTCTTTCCCTCCCTCTCTCTCCCTCTCACCCCCTACCTCTCTCTCTCCCTCCCCCCTCCCTCTCTCTCCCTCTCCCTCCCCCTCTCTCTTTCTTTCCCACAGCCCAGTCCTCATATCGCCCTGGCACTCACACTCCCTTTTCGAGATACGTCGTGTTGTGTCGCCATCTCCCCCATCATTTCTCCTCCCTATCGCGATATGTGTCATCTGCGTTTTCCTTTTTCGTCGTTATCTTTAATGTCATTTTCTTTAATGATCTTTCCTCCCCCCCCCCCCCACCTTTGTTTTACCGAATGGGGGTGGGTGGGGTTGGGGGAGTTGGGGGAGGGAGGAGGGAGGAGGGGGGAGGGAGTGGAGGGTGCAGGGAGGGAGTCTTTTCTATCTTAATCTTTAAACTTTTCTTTTTTTTGTTCTTTTTTTATTGTTTTTGTTTTATATATTTTAAAATGTATTGCATATATTTTTTTCGTGTACTGGTGTCCTTAGCTTTTCTCTTTATCTTTATCTCTCTACCTCCTTTTTTTCTCACTGTACGTATGTATAAATGTACACATCTATCTATTTATCTATCTATCTGTCTATTCAGCTACATATCAACTTAATAACTAACTTTCTCTCTGTATAATTGTCTGTATGCCTACCTCTCTCTTCTCTTTCTTCTTCCATTCGCTTTTCTCTTGTTCACTCGCCGTTACTACGCCATGCCCCACTTTCTCTTCCTCTGTGTACTCCAACCTTTTCGTATTTTTCCCTTCTCTCCTTCCCTTCTTTTCCTCCCCTTTTCCTTCTCCTACCTTTCTCCCTCTTTTTTTCCATTAACGTCTCCCTCTCCCTCTTCTTCCCTCTCCCTCTCTCTTGCTCCATTTCTCTTTTCTCTCTCCCTCCCTCTCTCTTGCTTCTCTCCCCCCCTACTCCCCCTCTCTCTCTCTCTCTCTCTCTCTCTCTCTCTCTCTCTCTCTCTCTCTCTCTCTCTCTCTCTCTCTCTCTCTCTCTCCTTTTTCCCTACCTCACTCCCTCCCTTTTTCTTGCCTTTTATCCCTCTCTCATCCCTCTCTCTGTCTTTCTCCCCTTCCCCTCCGTCCCTATTTCTCTTCCTCCTACTTCCCTCCTCCCTCTCTTAGTCTCCCTCCCTCTACATATCTCTCTCTGTCTCTCTCTCTCTCTCTCTCTCTCTCCCTCTCTCTCTCTCTCTCTCTCTCTCTCTCTCTCTCTCTCTCTCTCTCCTCCCTCTCTCTCTCTCTCTCCCTCCCTCTCCCTCCTCCTCTCTCTCCTCCCTCTCCTCCTCTCCTCCTCCCTCCCTTCCTCCCTCTCTCCTCTTCCCTCTCTCCTCCTCCCTTTCCCTCTCTCCTCCTCCCTTTCCCTCTCTCCTCCTCCCTCCCTTCCTCCCTCTCTCCTCTTCCCTCTCTCCTCCTCCCTTTCCCTCCCTCTTCTCCTCCTGTTCCCTCTCCTCCTCCTCCCTCTCTCCTCCTCCCTCCCTCCCTCCCTCTCTCCTCCTCCTGTTCCCTCTCCTTCAGGGCATCCGCACTTCCTACCCCAAGTTCTATTACCTTGTTAATGGCTATAAAATTTGAACAGGTTCAGCGATGCTCACACGACAGGATATTGTGTGAGTGAAGACACAGATTTACTCGCGGTGACCCCTCCCCCTCCCCTCAACAACTCCCCCCCTTCCCCCATCATCCCTCTACCCCTTCCCTCTCTGCTTCTCCCCTCACCCCCTCTTCCCGAAAACTTCTTTCACTCCCTCCCCACTTTTCTCCCCTCACCTCCCCTCCCCCTCCCTCCCGCTTCTCCCCCTCCCCTCCTTCCCCTCATACCCCCTCCCCTCCTCATCCCTCTACCCCCTCCCCTCCCCCTCCCACTTTTTCCCTATCCCCCTTCCCCCTCCCCCTCCCCCCTCACCCCCTCCCCCTTCTCCCCTCTCCCCTCCGCTTTTATTTCCTCCTGACATTTCTATTCGCTAAATGCAAAAAGGAAGAAGAACAAGAGAGAGAGAAAAGAAAACACATTTATTCCTGAATGTTCGGAGCGAGGATGTGCGAAGGAGATAATAAGAGTGAAGGAGATAATTGTGTGAAAGAGATAATTGCCAAGTTGAGAGATACGAGAGGGAGGGGGGAAAGGGGGTGGGGGGGAAGGGAAGGAGAGAGGGAAGGAAGGGGGGAGGGAAAGAGGGAGAGAGGGGGAAGGGGGTAGGGGGGAAGGGAAGGGAAGGGAGGGAAGGAAGGGGAGGGAGGGAGGGAGGGAGGGGGGAAGGGAGGGAGAGAGGGGGGGAAGGGAGGGAGGGAGGGAGGGAAGGGGGAAGGGAGGGAATGACAGGGAGTGCAAAGGAGAGGTAGAGTGGGTTGATGAAAGGGGAGAAAATGGGGACAGGAAAAGGGAAGAGAAGGAAGTAGGTGGAGGAGATGATGTAGAATGAAAGAGAGGTAGGGAAGGAAAGAATGGAAAAGACGGAGGGCGAGAATAAAAGAGAAGGTGAAAGACTTCCTCCCCTCCTTATTCTCTTCCTTCCTCCCTCCCTCCCTTCCCCCTTTCTTTCCTCCTCCCTCTCCTCCTTCCTTTCCTTCTTTCCTTCCTTCCTCCTTCCCTCCCTTCCCCCTTTCTTTCCTCCCTCCCTCTCCTGCTTCCTTTACTTCTTACCTTCCTTCCTTCCTTCCCTTCCTTCCCTCCCTTTCCTCCCTTCCTCCTTCCACACCCTCCCTCCCTTTCCTCCCTCCCTCTCTTCCCTCCTTACTCCCTCCTTTTTCTTCCCTCCCTTAATCCCTCTCTTCCCTCTCCGCCTTTTTCTTCCTCCCTCCCACCCTAACCCTCCCTCCCTCCCTCCCTCTCCTCCCTCCTTCCCTTCCTTTCCTCCCTCTCTCCCCACCCTTCCCTCCTTCCCTCTCTTGTCTTTTCTCTCTTCCCTCCCTCTCTTTCCTTTTGTTCCCTCCCTCCCTTCCCCTTTTCTTTCCTCCCTCCCCACCCTACCCTTCCTCTCTTCCCTCTCTCCTCCCTCCCTTCCCTTCCCTCCCTCCCTCCCTTTCCTCCCTCTCTCCTCCACCTTGTCAGCGG